TTTATTTTTATTATTTATTTTTATTATTTTTATTTTAGAAAAAAAAAGTGAACATGCACGGTTTCAAGTGCGAGCTCATCTGCTACCTCCTTTGCTGCTGCTCTTTCTCCAGGCCAGGTTTTCCGTGCCCGGTGTCGTCTGTCCCTAAGCTGGTCCTTTTAAGGGAGACGCTGCAGGAGCTGGAGCAGCAGCAGCGACGGCGGTGGTTCACCAGGCGCAGGCGGCTCTGAACGTAAATGCGGTGGTATCTGCCTCTCCCGGCGCTTCACGGAGCGAGGGAGCCGCTGAAAGAGCCAGGCCTGTGTGGAAGGGCACGTAGCGGGGCGTAGGAGCGTCCTGTAGCGGCGGGTTGCGCGGCGTTGTGCTTCAAAAAAGCCACAGAAACAGGGAAGATCCAGAAGGTATATGACAGGGTGATTTTAGCATAGTCCTGTCTATGCTAAAGAAAAAACTATGGTGGAGACAGGCAAAACATTACACAAAGAAACAGGAGCAGAAGCCTCTCTGAGGCTGTTTCCTTGTGTAATGTTTTGTCTCTCCCCAGCGCAGCTGTTGAGCCTGTTGGCCAGTTTCAGCGAGATTGTGGGAGTAGCAGAGATTTCCAAAGAGATATTTAAGATACAGGGTTTGGAGAAAATACATAGCCACTCAAATTTGTAGGAAACCAGGCCTGTTAATTCCACTGTGCACTGAAAACCTTGCGGTTTTTCTCATGCTCCTGAGAGGAACAAAGGGATTTTACATCTGCTGATGTGAGAGTCCTGGATCTTGCACATGAGCCGCTCGCGGCAGCCAGGGCTCACCCTGGCAAAGCTTGCTGTAGGACTGGGGTCACAGTTACCTGCTATGTGGGGGTCTGTCTCCGTGTGTTAGTTTTACAGTAGCCTGCGCCGTAAAAAGGTGACGGGACAGCAAAATATTCTAGTATCTATACAGAGAGAATGTAAGCCTGAAGAGACAGTAAGTGGAAACAATTATATACTTTCACAATATGCACATAGAGATGATGCTGCAATAGCAATGACGTGGGTCTGTGGGCATGCATGCATCAGTGGAAACAGATCAAGAGCTAAGACTATCGAATACTAACAAGACAAAACTGCCATGAGAACAAATCTCACGCTTTTAAATGTAAACCAATTTTCTAAATACCATTTTTAAGTCTCTTACTGGAGCCTTAAGAGTGTGGAGTACCTTTATTCTCCATGTTAATAACACTGTTCTAAACCATATCTGTTTATTAATAGTCTCTGTTTGACAAGGGCTTACTGTGCGCTTTTTAAGATTAAGTCTGAGGTTGTAACTATCACACTGTTCACGCTCCGTTTAAAATGGTACTGATAATTGTGTAGTCTGTGGTTGTATTTTATGCTGTTAAGTAACCAGAATTAATGGCAGAAGTATTTTGAAATTTCCCTGTGCATTTGGGAAAGTTTTATACATCATTAACTGTGAAATCAGCTAAGTAGAGTAGAAAAGTATTTATTGAAGGAAGGAAAAATAACTATGCAGTGCTAGCAAATTGCATTCTGATAAGTTAGAGAAAAATACTTTTAATGTGGCTAGTTGTAGGATCCTCATCAAAGTCTTAGTGAAATATTTAACACATAGCAATACGTTTATGTTCACTCTGCCACAATGATATTTCTATGTCAAGCAGTGCCTCTGAGCCAAAGAGACTGAAGTGACTGTTCTGAAGTACTTCTTGGGACCTAGTCCCTTTCCTTAACTATAACCTTATCCTTTTACCCATATTTGCTCTATAAGTCTCAGCAAGAGGTTGGTAAACTGAAATGCTAAAGAAAAATTCACATGTTTTTGTTCTAGCCTAATTAAGCCTCATAATTTGCCTTTGGTGAAAATACTTAAGTGCTTTATATTTCTAGCATTCTGTTATGTCTTTGTTCTGCATTGGTTCCTGTGCAGCTCTCATGAATAAGGCACTTTAATACCAACAGGCATCTTTTCCCTGTGAATTTTCTGAGATGGTCCCCCAAGTTTTGCTTTATAATGGCTGTAGGAATAACATCTGCAGCTAGCCTAACTCCAGGAAAGCTTAGAAATACTAATGTTACCTATGTAACTAAATGAAGGGCTCATTTTGGAAACAGAGCCAAAGCTTGTACTGACAGAGAATATATTTATTAAACTAACATATATTTGGAGAATGAAGATATTGATTACGTAGGTCCTTTTTCAGCTCTGACACTGTTCCAGCAAACATCAGGCTTAGAACAGACTGGAAGCAATTTGTCTGGGGAAAACCTGATTAACTCAACTTGTTGATTTGCAGGAAAAGAGTAGTTAAAATATATCTGGGGTTCCTGAGAGTTGTTCATATGCTGAGGAAAAGGTAACATTCTAGGAACATTTACTGGAAGTTATGATCTCCTTTTGGTATGTGGTATAGTTGATGATTTCCCATATAGATTTCTGCATGAAAATAGAGTTGGTGACGATATTGTTATGTTTGCCAAATGTTTATGTGGTATTCACTGTCAGGGAGCAGCAGGAGCTGGGCTACCCCACAGGGAAGATGAGCTGGAGCTGAGGTTGGCTGTAGCACGGGCAGGAGCAGCGTCCTCACCAACTAGGGTACAGTCCCACTGGACCTGAGCAGGACCAGAGTGGTGAGAATGACAGAGTCTATCAGCAGCCTCAGAAAAAGCAAGGTGATGAGTCTGGTCCAGTGTCCATCCAGGGAGTCCAATTGGGACCGGCAAGAGATGGGTTGGAAACAAGGCTATGACAAGATTGATCCAAGGGACAGGCCTGGCTACCTACATTACAGGTCTGGAGTCCATCCATGAAAACTAGTCTTAAGCTAGAGCAGGAGGAGAAAGGGCTAGGCGCAGGCACATCTACCATGTGGCTCTGGCAAGGACCGAAGGTCCAGGCCTGGGCTGAAATGGAGCTCTTGGATCAGCGGATGGAGATATCAGTTGGCTGGTCAGGGCAACTAAGCCCTTTTAGTGCACTCAGGGTCCTGATATTCAGGCAGCTCTTTCAGTGATACAGTCTAACCTCCTAGAGGAATGTCCTTGCTGGCTGAAGGTTGTCCTTATGTTGGTGAGATAGATATATGTCTCCTAGAATATCTGTATAAGCATTATGAAAGTCCCCATAACTGGTTCATCAAAATGCATGGACCCTACACATACGTATCTCAGATTCACATTCTCCATGAAACATTAAAATGACTTTGTGGAGATGGTGTGGGTGAAGCCAAACAGCAGCTACAGAGCAGAGCCTACTCACAAAGACAATCAGTAGAGAACAGAAACACCCAGTTGGAACAAGGAAAATGAGCTACACCATAACTTCAAAGAC